CTATTTTAATAGTATAGACTAGATTTTGACCCGCGCGTTGAAGGCGCTGCATAAATTTTTGGTTAATTTTTCTAATTTAGGAATTACTACAATTTTGTTTTTTCTTAATTTTAATATTTGAATTTTGACGCTTTTAATTAAAATTAATTTTTATTGTTGTCTTATAGTAATTCGAATTGGATGTTTAGGTACCGTTACATTTTTTGGATTGATTTAGTTTCAGTAATGTTTGATTGGGTTTGTATTTATATTTTTCGAGTTATTTTAGTTTAGGTGTTTAGGACCCGTGTAAGAACCAAATATTTTACGGATCAGTTCAATTCGAGTAATGTTGGATTCAGTTTGCATTTATATTCTTTTTGTAAAACCTGAAACAAAACCGAACTATAAATAGTTTGAACTTGAGTCATGTTCAATCCAAAAATCTCAAAAAACTTTGAAAAATCGAATTAACCCCAAAAATCCAAAATGGTAGTTTAAGTAATTAAGGGTTTTTCATATTATAATATAAAAATTATATTATATATTATGATAATTAATATTTTGATTATATTTCGAATATTTGGATACTTGTTCGGTTATTAGTGCAGTTCTGATTTTAGTTTTGGTTTTCGGGTTTGAGAAATAGTAATTGTTTGGGCTTTTAAAAATTTTGGTATGGTTTTGGTTTTAATTTTTTCGTTTCGGTTTGAGTTTGATTTTTTTTATTTGGATAATATTTTCAAGACTAACTTTCTCAATAGTTTTCTTAGCTATGTTTAAATACCCATCTTACTAAAATATCCGTTCTTATTTTTAACCTCAAAATATTATATAATATCACTTTTGTGCTATTGTATTTTATAGGATTTTCTCCTTCATTAAATATTTTTTTTTATTTTTTTGTAAATTGAGTCGAATAACATATAATTAAATTTTAATTTTTTATATCCTAATGTTTTAATTTAGAAATGTATGTTAAAATAAAAAATTATTTCATTTTTTTAAATATTTTATGGTAGTATTTTGTTATTCTGTAAATGTAATTCATCTAGTTTATAATGTATAAAGTAGATTAATTTATATTATAATTATTATTTTGTGTAATTTTTAGTTACAAATATGAAATATATATATATATATATATATATATATATGTTATAGAAAGTTAGTTCTTATTCTATAAATCAAAATGAATTAATACTCATTTATATTTTAATTTAATATTATTTACGTTTTTATTATTAAAAAGTATTAAAACAATAAATATTTATTTTTAAAATAAAATATATTAAAGATATTGTTAAAATGTAATCTGAAAAAGTAGTTAAGAGTATCTTTTTGATATCTTATTTTGAATATATTTAAATATTATATTAATATTATGTTGTTATTTAATACAGTAATAACTAAGTTTGTTATATGTAACATAACATAAAATTAAATAAATATAATGTTTTGAGGTAGACTACTTGCAAGTAGATAAAAAGTGCTTATGTTTTAATAGTATTGATGTTTTGGATAACTCCACAGAAGAATTTCAGTGGTGCTCTACACCAAATACAATATTACAATAGCATGCAAAATTTATGAACATATCTACTTTCACTTATGACTACTCCTGAACATCTACATGTGCATTTACTCTCATGTAAATATATTTTGTAAACAATAAAATCGAAATTGTTATGGAACTTGGAAAATTTTACATAAGTGGCATATTAAGCAAAATTTTATATAATTATACTATTATATCACCACATATATTTACCTTTTATTTGAAATACAAATGTTTTTGTTTAAGAAATTAAAATTTATCTAGATAGCATTGTATATTCCTAAAACCTAAAGAAAAAACTATATAATAGAGTTTGACCCACACAAATTTTTCATTTATAAATATATCTTTTATATTATTATAAAAAATAAATCTTTGATTTATATTTAATGTTATATATTATATAACTATATAATTTTGTTGTTTAAGTTTCTTATTCGTCACTATTAATATTTAGTAATTTTTTTATATATTTAAGTTTCTTGATACATAAATTATAATCTGAAATAATCAAATATATAATCTTCTTTAATATAGAGTTTTAGTTTATGCAATTTGCATACAATATATTTTAAATTTTATTTAGATGTACTATAGATAGATATTTGTTAATGATAATTTATATTTTCATGTTATGTTTAAAAATGATATTTTAACATTTATCACTTTAGTATTTTGTGAGATTTTATACGTAAATATACTGGTATCTATTGATAATTATTTTATAAACTATAAATAAAAAGAAAATCCACACGGTTATGCGGATCAAGATCTAGTCTATATTTAAAACCCTTCAATTAACCTATATATAGCTCATTATACAAGTAAATGATCTCCAAACGAGCATCCATTTTCCCTTGTTTCGTCCAAGTGTGAAACATTGGAGAACTCTCATGTTATTATAAATGATAAGAACATTAATCTAAAACTGAAAATTTTGTATATTTATCATCATATCTGTAAAGTTCTTCAATAATAAATTGAGAGGTAATGATTTGTAATATTATCTTATGATTTTAACCCTTACACGATTAATAAGAGAATACAATCTATATTTAAAACCCTTCAATTAACCTATAGCTCGTTATACAAGTAAATCGTCTGCAAAAGAGCATCCATTTGCCTTTGTTCGTCCAAGTGTGGAACATGGAGAATTCTCATGTTATTACAAATGATAAGAACATTATTCTATAAATTGAAAAATTTACATGTTTATAAGGATTTAAGTATATAACTGCACCACTCTAAACTGTTTCATGAGATTCATATTTATTATTTAACAAAACTCTTTGTATTATGCTGAATAATTATTATAAATCTTTTTTCATTAATCTCTATAATATTATTTGAGAAGTCAGTTTCTTATGTGTCGTTCTCACGTTCGGTCTCACAATGGTTTATTACAGTGATACCCTTAATGAATTAAAAATAGTTGAAAATAATATTATTAACTTTTTTATTTAGTTTCCTTTTCAAAATTTTCCAAAAATATATGTACTAAAAAGGAATTTTTTTATAAATTCATAAAACAAATTGAAAACAAAAAATATATGTATATATAATATGATTTCATAAAAAGGGAAAGTTCACAAAATAGTAATAATACATTTAAAAATAATTTTAAATAACAAAAAAATACTGTTAGAGAAACAAAAATAGTTTATAATTAGTATTATTGAATTTTTTTTTATTTTTTTCATATATTTAGTTTACTATAATATCTTTCAATTAAATAAAATTATCTATAAATTATATTTTACTTATATAATATTATTTTCAAATACAATCACAATTTTGTGTAGTGCTTATTTTTAAGAGATATTAAAAATTAAAAAACATCGCTTGATCAAATAATTAACAATTACTTAAGATAGATATATGATATTTTATCATTATTAAAATTATTTGTTTTCTTAATATTAAATTTTCTTTTACATTTTATGTTTTTATATCTGTGAAACTAAATATAACCATAATCAAAATACCAAAGCATATCTGAATTTCCAATTTTAAGATTATTTAAAATAAATCTCAGTTTACATTCAATAAATCTAAAGAATAAAGTTATTTAGAATTTATAAATATTTTAATTATTGTAAAAAAATAATTTTAAATAACAAAAAATACTTTTGGAGTAATAAAATAGTTTATAATTAGTATTATTGAATTGTTTTGTTTATTATTCATATATTTAATTTACTATAATATCTTTCAGTTAAATAAAATTTTCTATATATTATATTTTACTTATATAATATTATTTTCAAATACAATAACATTTTTGTGTAGTGCTTATTTTTAAGAGATATTAAAAACTAAAAATCAGTTTAACAATAAACATAGCTTGAGAAAATAATTAACAATTAGTTTAATGAGCTAGATATATGATATTTTATCATTATTAAAATTATTTATTTTCTTAATATTAAATTTTCTTTTAAATTATATGTTTTTATGTCTGTGGAACTAAATATAACCATAATCAAAATACCAAAGCATATCTGAATTCCCAATTTTAAGATTATTTAAAATAAATTTCAGTTTACATTCAATAAATCTAAAGTATAAAGTTATTTAGAATTTGTAAATATTTTAATTATTGTAAATATTGATATATGTTCATGAGCTTCCAAAAATGTATCAACTACTTTTGCATGTAACCTTCTATTGATCATAGGATAACTCAAAACATATTAAGAAATGATAATAAATATTAACCAACTCTTACAATGTTAGTTCTTTTGTAAAATTTATATATATGCATGAAATTTAGAATATTATCGTTATATTAATTTATGTATTTTGGAATCAGATACTTTAGTTAATTTTTAATTCAGATTAAGCACAATATATCTTAAGTTATATATAATTTTCCTATAATATATATACATATCTAAGACAACACCCACTATATGCAAATAAGTAATTAATTAAAAATTAATATATTTTAAAAATATTACAGTTGAATTCAGAGATGCAATTCTATGTATCCAAATGATAACTAAATCAACATTAAACAACAAAATTGACAAGATATAACATATATAAAATTATAGTATAATTAAAGTAATATAATATTATTAATAAAAATGATGCAATTATAAATTAATTTAAAAATAAAACTAAATAGTAATCAATTATTATCATATATTTACTTAAAAATATTTATACTCGTGCATGAGCACGGGAAAATCACCTAGTATGTATAATTTGTCTTATGAAAAACTTGGAACGATCAACTGAGTAAAATCATAAATAAACTGTTATTGAGACTTCTAAACAAAACCAAGAGATGTCTAACCAAAAGAGAGAGCCTCTTGTCTTGGGTCGCCAATATTATTTTTATTTATAAATTTTCCACAAACCAATACATAAAGGTAATCTTTAAATTGGCATAATATATGGGGCATGCCTCTCATATAGGCCTCTTTATTTTATGGAACTTTAAAAAAAAAAAACAACCCTAACGGGAAGAGTAAATGAGACTTTTTATGGAAGCAAACATAGTTTCAGTCTTGTTAGGATCACTACCGTCGATAAAATGCTCAATCACAGCAACTCCGTTCTCCTTCATCAAATTCGCCACATCTCTCTGCCTATCTATCATCGCACCTCCTCCTTCTCCAGTAACCGTCACCTTCCCTCCCAACCCTGCCGGAAAAACCTGATCGTTCACATGTCTGAGCTCAGACTCGCACCGCTCTTGGCCGCCGAAGAAGGGATCGAGTAAGATCAATCCACGGATACATAACGGAGTTAGATCTTGCTTGTTAGATCTAATTCCAACGTTGTAAGCTACGTTACCACCGGAGTTTTTCCCCATGAGGAACACATCAGAAAGATCTACGTAAGATTTGATCCACTCGTCTTCGGAGTTTCTTAGCCACTTCACCGCGTCCACCCCGTCGTCGTACGCGGCGGGGAGTTTAAACTCGGGAGCTACCCGGTACGAAGCTAACGCGACGACCACGTTGAGCTTCAGCGCCATAAGGTGGCAGAACTCGTGGTCGACTGGGTCGATGCTGTTGGTGATGAAACCTACGCCGTGATAGAAGACAACGAGAGGGAGTTTTTTGGACTTTAGTGCGGTTATGGGGACGTAGAGACGCATCCATGTTGACTTTGAGTGGTTCACAACAATGTCTTTGGTTATATTAGGTGTGGCTGGGACGCAGGGGAATCTGGTGGGGTCGCGAGTGATGGTGCCATCTTGATTCATTACGATGCCTATACTAGCGAGAAAGTCAATTTCAGAGGCTTGAAATGATTCAGACATATCTGTTGTCGTTTTTTTTTAGTTCAAAGTCTTCTGTTGTGTATGAAACTGATACTTGACTCTTGTCCCATTTTATAGGTGCTAATTTGTGCCATATTATACTAATAATCTATCTTATTAAGACAGAATCCTACTTTGGATCTAAACTTTGTTTTGTAAGGTATTAAATCAAATACACATTTATACTTTATAGTTAAACATATCTCAAATCATTAATTGTAAACAACAAATTTAAACTGATTATAATATGAGCCAATTTATTTGCAAGATTACACAAATCAGCTATAATAAATTTAATTAAAATATATAAAAAGAGTAATATGATCACTACATATTTAAATATGATCAAGACATATTTATAGTTCTTTAATTATTTTATATTTATCCTTTTCTCTATCAATACTTTGTAGAGACGTCATAATTTCACAAAATTTCAAAATAAAGAAGTTCCAAATTAGGATTAAAAAATGACAAATTATGAAACTATAACAATTTAAATCAAATTGGATTACATATAAATTATTCATCGGTTAGTAGTTTACCAGTTGAATTGGATAGTAGTTTAAGTAAAATTATAGCATAGGGAAGATCATAAACTATGAAAAAGTGTTAATGATAAAATAATAATTTTTTCATCATTATCATTCAAATAACACAAAATTGATAGGGGAACATCAAAAGAGCTTCCCCAAGTTGTTCATAGAAAATTAAAGAAAAAAAAATACATAATAGATTTTGGCATAGTAGTGAAACCATAAAACTTTTGATCATTGGTTTTAGAGTTTTCACCATCTCTGGCCTCTACCACCACCACGACCAAACCTACCACCACCTCCTCCACCACGACCAAACCTATTGCCACCTTGGCCACCACCACGACCATATCTTCTCTGCACTGGCTCTCTCTCTTGAAGTTTAGGCAACTCCTTAACAACCTCCAAACTCATACTTCCAGCATTCTTTTGCGCAGCTGCAAGGAACGTGTCTACATCTGATTGCACAACATCGAAACAAGCACCTTGTCCATCTGCTGTAAGAGTCATCCCTTCTATCAAATTAACCTTGTCCTCTGGTAAGACTCTCCTCAGCACCCCAAATGCAAATCTACAAAACCACAATCATCATCTTTAGTTACTACTTTCTTTTAGAAAAGCTGTCACAACCAAGTGTAAAGAAAAGAGTAGAGGAGCTTACGATGGTGTGTACATGGGTTTCCCTGCTTCAAGAAGTAGTGTGACATGATTCTCCATTGATGATAGAAGTGACCTTTTCTTAATCTCAGTGAAGCCCTGCAAATAAAACAAACTCTTTTAGTACTTTCCTTTTGAGACAAAACAAAAGAGATTTAAAACAAAACTAACCGCTGTTTTTGCAAGAGCTTTTGCAAGGAGCACTTCTGCAGACACACCAGAACTCTCTAACAACTCCTTAGCAGCAGCCATAAACGCAGGAACCACAGTGTCACANTTTTCTTAATCTCAGTGAAGCCCTGCAAATAAAACAAACTCTTTTAGTACTTTCCTTTTGAGACAAAACAAAAGAGATTTAAAACAAAACTAACCGCTGTTTTTGCAAGAGCTTTTGCAAGGAGCACTTCTGCAGACACACCAGAACTCTCTAACAACTCCTTAGCAGCAGCCATAAACGCAGGAACCACAGTGTCACAGACTTGTGTGATCTTCTCAGCAGCTTCCATACCAACAGCTTTGGCGATATCATTAGGCTGTGGAGCAGAGACATGCTCAAACTTGATCCCAGCTTGTTTTTCAATCTTTGACACACCACACTTTCTAGAATCATACAACATAACCGCAACTCCAGTGTTGCCAGCTCTTCCTGTTCGGCCTGAACGATGGATGTAGTCTTCAACATCACGTGGAGGCTCACACTGGATAATCAACTGAACATCATTGATATCTAGACCACGAGCAGCAACGTTTGTAGCAACCAATGTAGAGAACTTTCCCTTTCTAAATCCAGCAAGAGTAACCTACAATTTACAAGAATCATCATTATTAGCTTTTGCCTGAAGAAGATTCAGTAGAGGATGAGAGTAGTATAATAACATTTTACCTCACGCTGTGCTTGTTGAATGTCACCATGTAAAGCTCTTGCACCAGGTAACAAACCAGAAAGCTCAGAAGCTTGGTCTTTAGTCTCAGTGAAAATGATTGTACTACCTCCACTGAAAGAATAAAAATTGTATAAGAGACTTAACAATTTAATTTTAAATGATTGTTAAAGTACTAAACGTTACCTGCTGTATAAGCTGATGATGTCAGGAATCAAGCGAGACATGGCTTGCTTACTGCAGGGAAGAGCAATGTGTCTGACACTGTTACTGGCTTTCATCTTATCATTACCAACAAGATCAATAGTCTTCTTGTCTTGTTTCAGAAACTTAGACGCAATCTGGTAGAAGCAAAAAAAGATAATCAGGCATGTATAGAAAGAAAAAGAACAGTAAGAACGAATATATTTGAAAGGGACTCACGTTTTGAACCCATGATGGCAAGGTAGCACTGAAGAGAAGCGTCTGAACTTTTTTAGGATCCTCCACTTTACCTAAGATAAGTTCAACATCATCAACGAAACCCATTCTCAACATTTCATCAGCTTCATCAAGAACACGGAATTGTAGATAAGTCAGGTCAAGGTTTCCCCTTTCAATATGATCCTACAATGAATAATCAACACAATGTCAAGAAAGAACACAAACAAACAAAAAAACAATTATTTGATTTAAAGAAAAGAGCAAACCTTGATACGACCAGGGGTACCAACAACAATGTCAACACCTCTCTTTAGTTTATTCTGCTGAGGTGGGTAAGGATCACCTCCATAGACACAACAAGAAGTTAAACCAAGAGATCCTCCGTATGCATCAAAGTCAGCAAACACCTACAAAAAGAAACACCATACCATCAATAAAACTCAATGTTCTAAAAATCAGAGTCTAGACTACAAATTGATCATACTGGAAATGATTTTATCAATTTGAACCGTTCTAGATTGGTTTAAATCTGTTAAACTTATCTTAACTTAAAGAGGAATGTTAATGTAAATTCACAAACTGATCTAGTTCAATTTTTTAAATATATAATTTTATAATTAATCCCAAAAACTAAAATATCTAATATAGAAGTTAAATATAAAAAAATAAATCAATAATTCTTTAGACTATGTCCCTGTTCTTGCTAGTAAGCTAGTCAGGTATAGCTTACTAGCAAATTAATTACCACTAATTAATGCCTAGCAAATTCTTGAACAATGATAAAACAAAAAGAAGCACTTTCACCAAAACTTTGTACTAAGGATTCCTTACCTGCTTGGCCAATTCTCTAGTTGGTAAAAGTACCAAAACGCTCGGTGGCCTGCCGTATCCATTCTTCCTTTTATTCTTCGCAGGTCCATTGATCAAAGACTCCAATATAGGCAACACAAAAGCCAATGTTTTACCCTGCACCACACCACATACGATCAGTAAAGCCTTAAACTTTGAAAACTTCACACCAAAACAAACATAAGATGATTACACTAATATTCAGCTGATTAAATTTAATCACTGATTAACTAAGATACTCTAAAGCCTCAAACTTTGAAGACTTCACAGCAAACAAACATAACATTACCCTAAAATAATAATATAAAGTCTCAAACCTTCAGCTCAAAACCAATCACTGATTAACTTAGGCACTCTAAAGCCTCACACTTTGAAAATTTGACTGCAAACAAATATAAGATTAATGATATAAAGTCTCAAACTTTCAGCTCAAAACCAATAACTGATTAACTAAGACACTCTAAAGCCTCAGACTTTAAAAATTCCACACCAAACAAACATAAATAATGATATAAAATCTCAAACTTTCAGCTCAAAAGTAACAACGAATTAACTTAGGCACTCTAAAGCCTCAAACTTTACCAGCACACACCAATCTTAAAAAACATTAAACCAATCATTACCTGACCAGTACGAGCCCTTCCGACAAGATCAGCACCATCAAGAACCATATCAAAAGTCGTGGCCTGAATCGGGAACAGAGCTTCAATACCCTTCTCCCTAAGCTTCTCCCTCAACGGCTCCGAGATTCTAAACTTCGAAACAGCATTAGGGTTCTCCACTTCAACCTCAAGCTTCACCTTCTTGCTACTCTTCTTCTCACCACTCTCCGGCTCCACAACCTCAGAGTCTGAGTCACTAGAAGCCTTACGCCTCTTCTTGCTCTTGGCCTTCTTCTTCTCTGACTCTTCTCCATCGGAGTCAGAGAGTTTCAGCTTCTTCTTGGAGACATGCTCTGGTGTGGTGGTTTCGAGAGATGTCTTGCTCTTCTTCTTCATCTTCTTCTCATCGGATAAAGCTAATGAAGGCATCTCTCGTGGGTTTTTTTGAGAGAGAGGCGTGTTGAAGATGGGAGGAGAGAGCAGAGGGAGACAGAGAGTAGGGTTTGGGTGGATGTTATATAGTTTCGAGGCTTGGTCAAAACCCTAATTAAGCTATAAAACTCAAGTGTTGGAACTACGTGTTGTTTTGTCCGGAAGGAGAATGCGTGTCGGGTTTTGTTTTTTTTTTGTTTACTTTTAAAATGGAAAGTTTCCTGATTTGTTCAAAGTAATCAACAAATTCAAAATTTACATGACAAAATTTAAAATCGAGGAGAGAATCGGTCGAACCAGGTTAAACCATGAAATTGAGGAGATGTTAGAGTGGTGGTAGATATATGAAAATCGGATTTGTTTATAATAATCAATTAATATAATTTTATGAAATAACACTGCAGCAAATAATTTTTTGATATTTTTATTTTATCATTTTTCTTTAATTTTATTCAAAATTTACATGACAAAATTTAAAATCGAGGAGAGAATCGGTCGAACCAGGTTCAACCATGAAATTGAGGAGATGTTAGAGTGGTGGTAGATATATGAAAATCGGATTTGTTTATAATAATCAATTAATATAATTTTATGAAATAACACTGCAGCAAATAATTTTTTGATATTTTTATTTTATCATTTTTCTTTAATTTTATTCAAAATTTACATGACAAAATTTTAAATNGTTAGAGTGGTGGTAGATATATGAAAATCGGATTTGTTTATAATAATCAATTAATATAATTTTATGAAATAACACTGCAGCAAATAATTTTTTGATATTTTTATTTTATCATTTTTCTTTAATTTTATTCAAAATTTACATGACAAAATTTTAAATCGAGCAGAGAATCGGTCGAACCAGGTTCAACCATGAAATTGAGAAGATATTAGAATGGTGGTAGATATATGAAAATCAGATTTGTTTATAATCCATTACTATAAATTTTATTAAATAACACTGCAGCAAATAATTTTTGATATTTTTATTTTATAATTTTTCTTTAATTTAACAATTCATGATTATATATCTATAATTTTAAATGTTGTTATATATTTGTTTTTTATTTGGTGTTGTTAACTTTTATCATGATTATTTCCATTGAAAACTTTGATTACTTAACTCAACTAAGTTCATATAAAATTTGCAGAAGACAAACAAGAGAACGTATATATTTAATTTTATTTTATCATTTTTCTTTAATTTTATAATTCATGATTATATATCTATAATTTTAAATGTTATTATATATTTGTTTTTTATTTGGTGTAGTTAACTTTTATATCATGATTATTTCCATTGAAACTTTGATTACTTAACTCAACTAAGTTCATATAAAATTTGCAGAAGGCAAACAACAGAACGTATATTTTTAATTTTATATTATGACGAGTATACGAACCGAATTTAATTGGTAACGCTCAGTGATATTATCACGAGCCACGTCTCATGTGGTGTTGTTAGGTAGAATGAGAAAATAATTGGTAAACTTATTTATTTTTTGTGAACCGGATTAGACCGGGTAAAATTCAAACTAATTTAATCTCGGTTTGAAATGTAATTGGTAACGCTCAGTCGCTCGCATGATCACGAACCACGCGTCTCATGTTATGCTAGGTGTTAGGTAGATGAGAAAATTGTAATAAATAAGTATATATTTTTTGTGATTAGAGATTAGACAAATATCTATATGTATTTATGTCTCTGGCACTGCTTTTCTTTAGAAGATCACGCATCTACTACGTGCAACGTGGTTTTCCCTTTCGGGTTATGAATTGATTATGATGTGTACGTTTGATTTGAAACAAAGAACAAAAATTACGAATGTGTTTTCGTGTACTGGGCTTGTTGAAATCGAATCACTGGTTTAATCACTGGTTTAAACCGTTAAACCGACAATTATTTAACTGGATTTGGTTTTAAGACTTCATTAACTGGATTTGGTTTAAGACTTCATTAACCGGTGTTGTGTTCGTCTATGTTGTGTTCTTGAGCTTAAGAGTCTTCAGTTTAATCGTCTCTTTCAATTGCGTTTAGGTGAGTAGAAATTACAGTTTAGGCTTTGGACTGATGCAACCATTGCAACAAATCAGAAGTTAACTTATACATACCAAATCAGAAGTTAATAAACTACCTTTCACTTTTTTTGTTAGATGATAGTTAGTTATTTGTGTTATGATTTGCAGAATATATATTTTTTTTTAATCAAAATTTGCAGAATATATAAGATAACATAAATCACATGCAAAACACTAGTGCATGTTTCATTGATATTGATTACTACTAGTACTTCAGAACTCATACATTAAACTAATCAAGGTCTCCAGAATCTCCAACTACTAGAAACAAAAACAAAGTCATTACACCATAATTATTATAGTCATTAAAACAACTATCTTATAACTAGAAACTCAAACCACCACAGCCGCTAACGCAATCAGAATCGCAACAACCAAACTTTCACCACCTCCACGTCCAGAGGCAGCAGACGGTGGTGCATGGGGTGGTGCATGGGGTGGCGCCGGTGGTGGGACAGAAGGTTTGTCGGGAGGAAAATAAGGTGGATGGGGCGGTGGTACGGTGGGTGAAGGTGGTGGCAAACCGGTGTTGTTGCAATTATCGTGACCGTACCAAGTGTTCTCAGGGACGTTTTTGTTGAAAGCGAA